TGCCTCTTCCTTTGGTTTTCAACTGCCATGAAATATGCCAAGCACTGGGAACTTCATTATTGACAAGCAGAGTGAGGAAAGTAGACTCCCTATTCTGTAATAATAAAAGTATCTGTCCATATATAGTGTGTGCAAAAACATTTGTAGTAAGAAAGGTCATAGGGGAAGACTGAGATAAAAAGATGTCCCAATTTTGAATGCCTAGTTCTACTTTCTCTTGAGCTATGCCTTCTAAAGACAACAACATTCAAAGCAAAAGGGAAGGAGTTGTTACTCAGTTATGCATTCCCAAATATTCCAGTTTCCTTAACGTTTTGCGCAGTAATTCCCATGACTATGCTGAAGCAGATGGCCAGTTCTGAGGGTCATAGCTTCATTTTCTGAAGACTTCCACATACAACAGGCAAATGAATGGACAGTCATGCCACTTATTTATTATAGATTCCTGTTGTTATTTTAGAATTATAGGAAATAAGTATTGTTGGGTTGGATCCAGCCAACTTTTCCTCTCAGTCTCACCCAATGACCTTTGTTATTACAAAAGGATTTTCAACATGTAGGCTTTATATAATCTCAAGCATCTCTTTAAGGGGTCATAAGAAAATAAGAACATAAGAGAAGCCAATGTTGGAACAGGCCAGTGTCCCACCCAGTACAACACTCTCACAGTGGGTTCCTCTTCTGAACAATTGTGGAAATCCTGTACTCATACTCTTCCTCTGAGTTTTCTGAGTTTGGTGGCCTTTGAGATACTTTCAGTGGTGGATGAACGGCAAGAGAACAACGTAAAAATTAAGGGGTTGACACAGATCCTGAAAGAAATACCTATGGTTCTTGAAGAAGAAGAGATTAGATTTATACCCCGCCCTTCACTACCCAAAGGTGTCTCAGAGTGGCTTACAAACTCCTTTCCCCTCCCCTCAGCACAACAGACACCCTGTGAGGTAGGTGGGGCTGAGAGAGCTCTTGACAGAAACTGCTCTTTTTCAAGAACAGCTCTTATCAGAACTACGGTTTGCCCAAGGTCATCCAGCCAGGGCAAGTGGAGGAGTGGGAAATTAAACCCGGTTCTCCCAGATTAGCATCCGCGCACTTAACCACTACACCAAACTGGTTCTCAGCAAAAGCAACAGCTTAGTCCTGAAAGTCTGGAAAGTCCTAAAAGCACTGACACAATGAAGAGAAAACTGAAGGCCAAGAGATGTAGGGAGGCTTTGAAGAAGTTCATAGCATGGCAGGAAGTATGGATTAGAACTAATAAAATCCAACATAACCCTTTTGAGGAAGCATTACAAGAATAGGAATTGGAACATATTAAAAACTTTTTAAAAGCAAAAATGGACTGGGGATTATAAAGACACAGATGTACATAAGTATATAGTAAAAGCTGTTTTAGTGGAAATACACAAGCTCTGTAGGGGAGGGGAAATTAACGATAGCAGCCATGAATACAGTCAGTTAATAGAAATATTCTTATATAGATAGCTAATAGAATTATTCTTAAATAATTGCCTTTTCCTCCCCCTGCAATGAGGGCACTGTGTTTGGGGATGGTTTTTCGCCCCCTTCCCCACCCCCAGTTCTGTTGAGATGATTTTTTACCCCCATCTCTTTCTGAAAGCTGATCCTGAGTCATCTTTTCCCTCATGTGTAATGTGTCTGTCAGTTTTCTCTGTTCCACCCACTTCTAGCCAGCATTTTGATAATTGGACTATTCTCCTTGTTCAACCATTCCCTCTCCTCCCCTTTGAAGACATAGATTTTTACTTTTTTAAAGTACTAAGATATTGCTATATCAATATTCCAGTACAATAATGGGTTAAACAGGTTCTCTGAATCCCCAGCTTTCATCATCATCATCATCATCATCATCATCATCATCATCATCAACATCAGCAACAACAAGTAAGTCTCTGTCCCTCGTGAAACATAAGGAGATAAAAGGAAAAAGCCATATTTATGTGAGGGTAGGGTTTAGTGACTTACTTTAAAACATGACAGCTGGGAATTCAGAGAACTTATTGAACCTATCATTATAATCGTATATTGTTGTATCAATACTTTAGGTACTTTTTGAAATATGGCCAGAATATCAAGACATCAATACAAGCATGCCCCCAAAATAAAAAGGTGGTGCTGTGATGCCACCAATGATATCACCAATGTAAACAGCACCCTCCCTTGAAATTCCTGATTATTAGCACTGACCTGGATAGCCCAAGCTAAGGAGGGCCGACCCTGGCAAGTACTTGGAAGGGAGACCACCCAAGGAATATCAGGGCCAGGATGCAGAGGCAGGCAATACAAGCCACCTCTCTGAAAACATCCAAGCTCCAGTAGGGGTTGCCAGACATCACCCTGACTTCCAGGCATGCAAGTGTGCACACGCACGCACACACACATGCAAAATATTTTTAAAAAGAAGAAAAACTGATTATTTAAGGCACATGCCAGGAAAAAAAACCTGATTGTAAAAACACTGAGCAGGCAAATGTGCGGGAGAGCAATGCCCAAGCCAATTTCAATGCTTGTGGATTAACTGCCAAGAAAATTCTCCTTCATTACTGTGTCTCTTCTTAAAGAATCTGGGCATAAAACTCTGGCACAAGCATGAACAACCACCATCTTGTTTTTGAGGAGTATTAAAAGGCTTGGATTTGAAAAGGGTATAATGGTATAATGCCACAGAGTCTAGTAGGGATGGGCATGAAGTGGGGAAATTGTGGTTTGTAGAGGTTCATGGTTCGTTGGGGGGTTCATAAACCACGAACCACCACGGACCCTTCAGTTTACCAAACCGGTTTGTGGGTTGTGACTTGTTATTTGGGATGCAGTGGAATGTGCCCCCTGCTGGCTAGAGATGCCAAACTAACAATACTTCTCCAGCTGACTCTGCTATACCTGCCCTCCACATTTGGTGAGGATTGGATTTAGGAGACCCAAGCTACAGCCCCCCAAAGCAGGTGCCCCCAGGAAAGTACTCTCTTAGGAGGGTGTCAACAGACCTCCTGCAAGTTAGAAACATCAAGCTCGCAGAGTACCTCCACAGGATGCCCCTCTACCTTCCCTCCAAGTTTGGTAAGGATTGGCTGTGGGGGATGAGTAGTGGGCCCCCCAAACAGATGCCCCCAGGAAAGCGCTCTCTGGGGAAATCACAGCTGCATATTCAGGACTGTGTCAAACGGACTTCCCTCAAACTTGAGGCATCAAACTCAGAGAGGACCACCCTGGCCTGCCCCTCTTCCTGCCCTCCAAGTTTGTTGAGGATTGGCTTTGTGGGCCAAATATCAGCAGGTGCTCCCAGAAAAGTACTCTCTGGGAAAATCACACTTGCCCTCTGGCCCAGGAGGTGACCACCAGCCAGCCTCCATCTAGTGACTGAGATTTAGGGAATGGACCACCACACTCCCCTTGTACCCAAGAGGCAGTCACCTGGTTATGAAGATAGGTTCTGGGGGTGGCCAACCCTTCCCTTCATGCCCAGAAAGCGGTCACCCACCCACCTCCACCTGGTGACTAGGGTTTAGGGGGTTGGCCAGCCACACACTCCTTCATGCCTGGGAGATGGTCACCTGGTTGTGAAAATGGATTCTGAGGGGAATTGACATTTGTAGTCTGGCATTCCATATGTAGATGGCATTCCAGATCCCACCAAGAGGATGGCAATCATTGGGTATATGCATATAGAGGATGCCACACAAGGACAGAGCTGGATAACAAAATACCTTCTTAATTCCCAGAGCCTGTTACTCACCTGATGTTTAACATACATCATTTAAAGGGGTATTCCACAAAACCATACTCCAGTCAAAGATGGGTGAACTGGAATTCTCTAATTTCTATTTCCATTTCAGCTCCCCAGGGCAGCAAAGCAAAGTTAAATGGGAGAATGAATAACGGTATATGAACTTTGCTGCCAAGCCATAAAACCCAAGCAACCATCTCATCTCTATACCATAAAGTATCACTGCTGACTGATCTTTTGGTGACTTTCTTCAGTCACATTGCTGGAGATAATACATAACGTGTTAGACTGATTGGGCAAATGTCTTGATGGAACTAATGTGCTGAGAACTTCAAGATGAATGTGATTGGTAGGCAAATAGACATATTCTATCAACAGCACTTCATTCAAGTGGAGCCAGACAGCAGATTTATCCCATTCCTGCTGTTTGCCAGCCAACTTGAAAACAATCTGGATAGCTTTCGTAGATGTTTCATTCTGTTATTCTTTCTCTGGTGAAAGATGGAAATCAATTTTCCTCTACAGTCAAGGTCATATCAGGTCAGCCCATTAAGCTGCTCAGATCATGGTTCCAATAGATACAACAGAGAACAGACATATTCAAAGCCATCTCAGCTTAACCTGCTTAGAGGTGTGATCCTTTCATATTTCTCCAGGACACCTGACCATCTTTTGATGCATGCAAAGAAATCAATTAAAATAGGTATAGACAAAATAAATCAATCTAGTTTTTGGTGCATGCTGACCACAAGAAGTACAACTCCCCAGAATTTCATTCCAGTTGCATTCTGGGGGCACCACTTGTGCTTGGCAGTCCAAAGAATAGAAAAGTTTTGACAAAACATGTTTATTTTTCTCAACAGTTGTACAGAAACCCCCTCCATAATTATCAACATTCCTATAATTACTTCTTCTCAGAATCCCTATGTTATTTAAATGGTCATTGGGGGAAAAGCTGCAGATTATACTAGAAATACAATCTTTCACATTCCAATTTGGTGGAAGGGCTAGGGATAGATAGGATTCTCTCAATCTGATCTATGATATTTATTCATTTATTTCTGGTTCTATCCCACCTTGCCTGAAGCAGGCTCAAGGCAGTGTAAAATAATAATTTAAAATAAAAACAGATAAAAACAGATGATATGCAAAATCCTTTTCAGGAGATTATGCAAATCAGGTTGTTTTGAATTGGAATTACTTCAACATTCACATGAGAAGACCGGAATCTCTATTGGGATGAACTAATTTGAGAATGGTGTCACTCATGGTGTTGGTTCTAGTGCTGCTGGATCCATCAGTGTACAAAGCCAATGATGCTAAATGCACCATCAGCAAACCCCTCTCAAGCCTTCAGAAATGTTATCAAGAAGGAGATCTCATAATTGGGGGAATTTCATCTCTTATCTATGTCATTTCAGAAATCATGGACTTCAGCAAACTGCTCAACAATATGGCATATAATATGCCCTTGTAAGGAAGGTTTGTTTCTATACATATTATCGGTTTATGTCATGACAATAGCTGACAAGTTGTTCATACTGCATTGAATTCTAGGAATGTAAAGATTAATTTGGATTTCTCTTTTAATTTACCAGCCAGCCTATTTCCATTCCATCCTTCTTTAAGGAAGAGAGGGTCACTGACTATTGTCCACTGTGATCCTGTATGGAAAACACTAACAATAGTTTTCAGGTTCTTCTGAAATACAAAAGTTATTACTTATCAAAAGAGACCCACTGTGCAGATGAGGATGATAACAGAATTTGAGTAGATTGGATATAGTGCTTGAATCTAGATATACACATCCCCACACTCCTAGATGGCTCATTGGATAGGCCAGAAATCTTTGATAATTCCAATTCTGAGTTCAAGGACAGTGGAGCTAAATCCACTCCTATTTTAAATAATTGTTCAGTTTCTGTGGGACATAGACACTTAATTACATCACAGGGTCTAAGAGCACTGATTCTTGAGGGATATTAAAATATTAGAGAATCAATTGAAATATGCAGAAACAAAAAAAATCTCTAGATTAGAGAGTTATCTAATTTCAAATGGGATGGACTTGATAGATTCTGAACCAATCAATGGCACTAATTCCATAGACAATATTTCACACACAATAGATTCTTCTCATAGTGTATGGCCTAGTTGTTACCAACAGATCTTAGCTGTGGCATTTGCTGTGAAGGAAATGAATGAAAACCGGAAAATCTTACCCAAGGTCATTTTGGGCTTCCAAATCTATAAAACCTACTTCAGTACAAGACAGGCATACTGTGCCATGATAAAACTTCTCTCTACAAAGAACAGGCATATTCCAACTTCTTCCCCCCAGTAGTTACAGTGCAGAGTCTCACAATATTGACTCTACAGTAGGATTTTGAAAAATCAAAAAATCACCTAAAATACACACAAAGAATCTCCAGAATGAGAGATGGATTGAATTTTAAATGGAATGGAGTGTAGGCAATCTCATTATAACCTGGACCCTATACATTGCATTGATATCATAGTCAATATTTCTAGTCAGATATGATTACTTAAGCCTGGGGTACCACAATATTACATAATTGTTTCTTAAATCCTTATTGACCCAACCCATTGTATTGATTTCACAATCAATATTTCTAGTAAGAGTAATAAAGCATGAGGCACAATAATACTGCAACAATTTTTGCTGAGTAGGTTTCTCATTCTTGTTGTAGTGTACTGACTAATCATTATCAACATGTCTTGGCCATGGCATTTGCTGTGAAGAAGATCAATGAAAATCCCCAGATCTTACCCAATGTCACCTTGGGCTTCCACATCTGGAACAGCTACTTCAATGCAAGAGAGACCTATCGTGCTATGGTAGAACTTCTCTCAACAAAGAACAGATTGGTCCCCAACTACAAGTGTGACCCCCAGAGCAATCTGATAGCAGTCATTGGAGGACTTGAAGCTGAAACTTCCCTCTACATAGCAAATTTGTTAGCTATCTACAATATTCCACAGGTAGGGTGGGTATGCCGATATGAACTTCCATGATTGAATGATCCTCCATATAAAATACTTTACATAATATTTTTAAAAAGCAAATTAAAGAGAAGAACAGAGGGAAAGGGGAAAGGCTCAGAAGTCTTTAAAGGAAGAATCATTGGTTCTAAACAAACATGTCTCTTAAATTCAAATGTAGGGCCTTTCTATTCCAATAAGATAACATTAATTCATCTAGATGGATAGCTGTGATCATTTTTAAGTTGTCACTGCAGGCCTGTTCTATTTTGCCACTACAGGCTAAGTGCATTTATGACAGTGCAAACTTTATTCCTTTTCATAGTAATGAAGACCACTTCATCAGATGTATCCATCTACCCCCACCCCAATATGCCTTTCACATCCCAAGGAAATGAAACCATTTTCATTTCATCTCCGTAAACAGCCACAAAGTAAAGCATAGATCTGTCTTTGATATTTTTACTAGCAACCCAACTGGAAAGTGTGCCTTTCTCTGCAGATTATGGATTCTTTCCTAAAGGGAGTGGTATTTTGAAAACTTTTCAATCATATTCTCTACTTTTCACTCCCAATGTTCAACTCTATAGCTCACCTATGGCTCTGCTTCAGTAATGAATGAAAAATTATCTGGCCTTTCTGTCTATCAGATGGTTCCAAATGAAGTCAATCAATACAGGGGTATCCTCCACTTAATTCTGCATTTCAGGTGGACATGGATTGGGCTCATTGCTGTGGATGATGAACGTGGAGAAAGATTTCAGCAAGCCCTGCTTCCTCTGTTTTTTCAAAATGGCATCTGTTTGGCCTTCATAGAAAAAATCCTACAGGTCACAACCATAGATTATTATTTTACCATGATGCAGGATGGATGGGAAAAATTTGATGTTGTAATGGAGAGCAAAGCCAATGCAGTTGTCCTTTATGGAGACAGTGAATCTATCTCGTATATGAGATGGTCTATAAAATTCTCAGAGACGGAATTCACGACAGCAAAGCTTAAAGGGAAAGTATATATTATGACCATTCAGATGGATTTGGTGTCCTATTATTATCAAAGAAATTGGGACAAAGTAGTCCTTCATGGTGCTATATCCTTCATAGTTCACACGAATCAACCACCAGGATTTCAGCAATTTCTTAAGAGCAGAAAGCCTCTTTGGACTGAAGGAGATGGCTTCATCAGGGATTTCTGGGAGCAGGCATTCCTCTGTCATTTCTCAGATTCACCACTGGAGAAGGAGTTTGATAAGAATTGCACTGGAGAGGAGCAGCTGGAGAGCCTTCCTGCAGATATTTTTGAAATGAGTATGACTGGCCCCAGCTACAGTATCTACAATGCTGTCTATGCTATCGCAAATGCTTTACATGCCCTACTTTCATTTTGTTATGGACAAAGAAGAATGGTGGAGACAAAGAAATGTAATTTCAGACAACCATTATGGCAGGTAAATATCTTAGGTAGAAAGAAAACCATGTATTTGGGGACTCAAAGAGGATGCATGAATATTATCTCACCTGAAATCATTCATAACTTCATATTCTTCACTCCTTTGCCCATCTATTCAACTAAAAATGACACCATTATCATGCTTCAATAAGACCTGTCGTTGATATAAATTGCACATTTCCAATATGATGCTTAAATGATGTAGCTGTTCATCTGTGTTTTCATCATTTGATATTTTTGTTGAATCTGAAGTAGAGAACAATTTAGAGAGAGGTGATTGATGACTACAGAATAAAAGAGAAAATGGGACCGATGTATATTAAAATCATATGGGCAAGAGGGTGTGGTAAGAAGGGGATTCAGTAAGGCTGAATGAAAAAGTGTTGCATCCAACTCTGTATCTGAACCATGTTCCTTAAGAAATGTATATTAATCTTTTCTACCCATTCAAGAACCTGGTACTCCCACAGTCATCCCAGGTCTCAGTTCTGCAAGGCCCTCCTCGGCCTTTGCCCGCCTGCCCCTTGAATGAAACACAACACAATTTATGGGTTAAAACTGGGACTTTATTTACATACAAGCTGATCTGCATCATTATCCATTTTAAGCACAAGTTGGATTGTGCCTGTGAGGCAGGCTTCTTAACAGGGCAAACCCACCCTGGCTCAGAGCCAGGTCCGGACCCCACCTATTACGCATATAAGGGACAGAGGAGCACATCTTCACCATGACTGCTAGGCCTTAAGGCTCACCATGTGCTTTCCCACCCCAGAGGGGGGCCCCCATCTGAGGCTCTCAGACTTCCAAACCCTTAGGTACCCTAGCTTGAGGACCCCCCCATTGCTGATATCTCAGGGTGCTTGCCATTTCCAATCTGCCCTCTCAACCCGTGCTTTCCCACCACAGAGGGGCTTAGCCTTGGCTTAACACCCCTCCCACCAGCCAGAAGCCACCAGGTCTCACAGACCCTTCTGCAGATCAGCCAAGAAGATATCCATCCCAGCGACAGATAAGTGAACCCCGTCAGGCCTAAAGAGATGTGGGCACAGGAACTTAATTCCCGGGTGTGGTATCGCTTTCCCTCCCCAAGCAGCCACTGACCTACCAATGACGTTGTTCATCCAGCATCATGCCTTGTCCACCCTATGTGGGCTAAAGACCCCCCTCCATACCCGCCGCAGCAACATATTGGACCATACCCAGATGGTGTCAGGAAACCATTTCCCGAGTGTCTCCAAATCCTGCAATATCTCTGCCAACAGAGAGACTGCTGACCTGGTGCCCAGGTCATTCTCGTCCAGGTGCACAACCACGACTCAAGGGGGCACATTTGCCACCCTGCGACTATGCAAAAGAGGGAGCAGCTGGCCCCAGCGTATCCCCCTCATCCCCAGCCATTCAACAGATGGTCTGTCTCCCATGCCCAGCTGGGAACCCATGGTAGAGCAGCCAGCTCTCCTACCTGCCCAATATATGATCGAGTGCCCGCAAATCAACATGCCAGTGTTCCTTGTTCTTGTGCCATACCCTGTAACGAGACACACCATGAGCCATCAGCACTTATGTACGTAGCCCCTGTACGCCCGGGAGCACCAATGCCCCAAGTGCTGGATCTCAGAAGGGCCAAGTTCCAGCTCCATAGCTGTTGAGGCTGCTCCAATGCGAAAGGAGTACATATCGAAGCGGCCCCTGGCCAAGCCCGCCATGTCCAATGCCCAGTGTAGCACAGACCAAAATTGATATTGGGTCAAGGGTAGTCCGCTCTCATGCTGAAAAAGCAGTCCAGAAAAGGACCAAGTCCCAGCTCCATAGCTGTTGAGGCTGCTCTGATGCGAAAGGAGTGCATACCGAAGCGCCCCCCCGGCCAAGCCCGCCATGTCCAATGCCCAGTGTAGCACAGACCAAAATTGATATTGGGTCAAGGGTAGTCCGCTCTCACGCTGAAAAAGCAGTCCAGTACTCCACCCCACCAACACCATCCATTGTACCATCCCCTGCACAGGGCACAAAGCTGCCTGTGAAGGGTAGCTAGCTGCCCAACACCCACCTGGTCCGTCTTAGACCATCAGACTTGAAATGTCACTGTGGCCACTCCCACTCCCGCATCTGCTATGAACAAGGCCCAATTTCTACCATCCCTCTGGGACCTGACGAGCAGCTCACTAATCCGAAAAGCCCTGAAAAAAAGCTACCAGGGTTGCCACCCGGAAAAGCACCATCTCCCGTGGCAAAAAGCATAGGCCCATGAAGAGGCTGACCAACTTACTGATAATGTCTTGGGTAAACGGCTGTCTGGTATCAGGTGCTGGTGGTGACTCCCTAAGCCAGCCCTCTGTCATGCGCTGTAGCCTGAAATCCCGTGTGCAGTCAACTAACCCCTGAGCCCTCAACATGTACCCTTTAATGGTGCAGCCTGCCAGGCGCTTTGCCTTCAAGGCAACTGCAAACTGAAGCAGGTGTTCAATTGGTATTGGCCAGAGCTGTCCAAGCCCAGACTCCCCCCAGAACCTGCGGAATACCTTGAGGTGCCCCCTATATGCTGTCCTCGTACCTGGCGCTAATGACGCCTCAATGGCTCTCTCGACATCCCACTGCCAAGGCTCCACAAGGCCACCGGCATCAGCTCTGAGTCTAGGTTTGCCCCCAGGGCTAGCTCCCAGAACCTGACTTCCTGAAAATGAGACAGCACATCAGCAATGTTGTTGTTCACCCCTGGAACGTGCTCAGCCACAAACAGTATATTGTATTGCAAACAACACAGCACAAATGCCCAAACCAACCACATAACTATGGGAGTTTTTGCCGTCAGTTTATTGATGACTTGTACGACTGCTAGGTTATCACACCAGAACTTGACCACTGTGTCCTGTAATTGGGCATGCCATAAGTGGACTGCCACCACCATAGGAAAGAATTCCAAGAAGGTGAGATCCTTTGTAAGGCCAGACTCGGCCCAGCCTAGGGTTGCCAAATGGCACTCACCTGCTTGGCGGGGGACTCCTGGGCAACTCCTGGTGCAGGAACAAGATGTGTGCCGCATCTATGTCACCCGGATGTGACGTCGCACGCTGGGGTGGGGCCACAGCCATTTGAGGAGAAAACATAGAGTTTTTCCCTCAAATGGCTGTGGCCCTGCCCTCCAGCGTGCGACGTCACATCCGGGTGACGTACACGCGCGGGTGGGGTTTCCCCCTCAAATGGCTGTGGCCCTGCCCTCCAGCGTGCGACGTCACATCCGGGTGACGTACACGCGGGGGTGGGGTTTCCCCAGGGCCCGATTCCACAGGGGCGGAAATCGGGCCTCCAAAGCGGGGGGAAATCCGCCCCCTGGGGGGATTTGGCAGCCCTAGCCCAGCCCCTAGGCCAGCGTTGGGCGCACCAGCTCCCCTGAAAAATGACTCCAAACCCCATGCTGCCTGATGCATCAGAACAGATCTGTAAAGACGCCTCCAGGAGCATGGAGCTGCGCCAAAAGGACACCCTTTTAAACCCCTTAAGAAACCCCAGCCACATGTACAGGTCTGCTTTAATCCCACCCAAAACTCAGACCCGGTGATGAGGCAGGGAGACTCCCCCCAGGGAGTCACAAATTCACCAGACAAAAGCCCGTCCCAGGGCCACCACCCTGCAGGCAAAATTCAAGTGGCCCAGCAGCGTTTGCTATTTTCACAAGGTTAGGCTTTTCCAAGAGCAGGCCTGCTCCAGTAAGGTTACCAGCCCCGCCACCGTATCCGTGGGCAAGGTGCAGAGCTGCTCCTCCGTGTTGATCAAAATCCCCAGAAAGGTCAGACTGGTGCCTGGTCCCTCAGTTTTCTTGTGTGCCAAAGGTACTCCCAACTCAGCCGCCATGTCCTGAAAAATATCCATGGAATTCCGACAGGCGTTAGTTCCTGCCCCCCCCCATGTACAAAAAGTCATCCAGTTAGTGCGTAACCCTGTCTGATCCCAACCTTTGCCGCACCGCCCATTCCAAGAAGGAGCTGAACATCTCAAAGGCCGAGCAGGAGATTGCACACTCCATGGGCATGGCCATGTCATAGTAGAACTGGCCATCAAATGTATATCCCAACAGGTCAAAATCCCCTGGGTGTATTGGCAAAAGGCGGAAAGCCGATTTGATGTTGCATTTACCCATAAGCGCTACCTTACCACAGCTAGCCACCATGCACACTGCACTGTCAGAGGATGCATAGTGCACTGTGGCAAGTTCCCCCGGGATCCCATTGTTGACAGACCTCCCATGAGGGTAAGATAAATAATACAAAAAATTAGGGACTACATCCAGTGGGGAGATGTGGAGCATGCCACCCAGCCTTCCTGTACCTCCTTCTCAATTTTTTACCTTACTACAGCTTCCAGCCCCACAACCGATTTCAAATTTCTAGCCATGAAATGTGTCCATTTGCCATTAAAAGGGATACAGAATCCCTCCCGGAACCCTTCTTCCAGGTATGCTGCTTCCCTCCTGCGGGGGGTACCCCTGCAGCCAGTCCCATAAAACTGTGAGCCTAATTGGGCTTTGCGTCCTTGCTGGCGGCCCCATCCTTTGGTCTCTTAGCACCCCCACCAACTTTGGGACCGGCCAGCCCCCCATCACCCCTCCTACAGGCCGATGCAGAGTGGAAGCCCCCACAAGCGCTGCAGGTGTGCCTATACTTACACTGAGTCCAATGGCACCCCATAGTGTTGAAATCCCAATAGACGAGGCGGGGTTGAACCCACTGCTTGTTGCCACTTTCTCACCCTGAGTCCGCCTGCGAGCGTGCCACCATGTGGCCACTATCTGCATACCTGTCCGCAATGGCTCCTGCCAGCCCCAGGCATTGGGACCACAGCTGTTGATGCTCCCAGTCCCAAGGCAGGGTTGGGTCAAGAGCTGCCCACGCACGGAAGAGCTCGTCATAGTGCAGCCACACGGCCCCATTGTATTCCTTAGAGGCATGGTGTATCAGGTCCTGGTACTTCACCAGTGGGAATGTTAAATAATAATAATAAAAA